AGATGCTCTATGATAGAGGTAGAGGCTGGGGTGGGGAAGTGAAACAGAATGCAAGTTTTCAGGGAGGAAGTGTTGGGGTCACATGCTGCTTCTCCTCCTTTCTCACATAGGTGCTTCAGTGAAGAGTCCTGCGTCTCCATCCCTGAAGTGGAGGGCTACGTGGTGGTCCTTCAGCCCGATGCTCCCCAGATCCTGCTGAGTGGCACTGCCCATTTTGCCCGCCCAGCTGTGGACTTTGAGGGACCCGAGGGGGTCCCTTTGTTCCCTGATCTTCAAATCACCTGCTCCATCTCTCACCAGGTGGAGGCCAAAAAGGATGAGAGCTGGCAGGGCACAGGTAAGGACCACTCCGGGGAGTAACACCATCCAGAGAGCCAGCCAGTGTCTGGAGCCAGAGTGTGGGAGAACTCTTGGGGCTGGAAGCAGAAAGCGACTCCATCCTGTGTTTGTTTGACTGAACTACTTACCTTTAAGAAGGAGAGCAAGTGGGAAATCCGTGGGTGGAAGTGAATTGTTGCATAATCATATTCTTGAAAATGATGCTGCCTTCCCTTTCCCTGACCCTGGAAAGGGAGGGAGAGTGGTGTTGAAGCGGTGGCTGGGTCTCAGAGCCCCTGTGAGCCCAGACCCTACTCTCCCCAACCCAGTGACAGATACACGCATGTCGGATGAGATTGTGCACAACCTGGACGGCTGTGAAATTTCTCTGGTGGGGGATGACCTGGACCCTGAGCGGGAAAGCCTGCTCCTGGACACAAGCTCCCTGCAGCAGCGAGGGCTGGAGCTCACCAACACGTCTGCCTACCTCACCATTGCTGGTCAGTGGGGCCTCAGGGCCTATCCTCTGTGTGTGTGCCTCTCCCCATAAGTAAGCACCTGGGAAGCCCAGAGGGTCCTCCTTCCCATCCAGGGATGTGGACAAGTGCCGTTTTGCATTTTCCCAGCCTGGAAGATCCTCTGGCTTTCAGATTGTCCCTAGGGGAGGTATGCTGGGTTTAGACTCTGAACGTTTCTCTCTTTCTGCTCCTCTCCATGGCCTAGCTCACCTCCGCTTCTGGTCCCACTCCTGTTTCCATTCAGGCTTCTCGCCTTCCTTTCCTCCTTCAGCTCCTCTCTGCCCAGCTTTCTAACCCTCTAGCTGTTTGTTGCTGGTCATCTGTGTCTTATAGCTCACTAATCTCACGTGCACACCAGAGCTTTACAAGAAGTGCTTATCTCTTAGTGGGAGTGATGATTTGGTAGTTTCCAAAGGAAGCCGGGAGGGAGAATGGAGAAGATGGAGGTAACCAGTTCCCTCCTATTTCCACTCCTCTCCAGGGCTCACTGAGGACTTCTGTATTTTCCCCTTTCTCAGATTCCCTCCTGCTTGCCATCTCCCTTTCGGTCTTTCAGGATGTCTTTTTTTTTTTTTTCCTTTTGAAATGGAGTCTTACTCTATCACCCAGGCTGGAGTGCAGTGACACGATCTTGGCTCACTGCAACCTCTGCCTTTCTGAGTTCAAGTGATTCTCCTGCCTCAGTCTCCCTAGTAGCTGGGACTTCAGGCGCCCGCCACCATGCCTAGCTAATTTTTTATTTTTAGTAGAGATGGGGTTTCACCATATTGGCCAGGCTGCTCTCGAATGCCTGACCTTGTGATCCGCACACCTCTGTCTCCCAAAGTGCTGGGATTACAGGTGTGAGCCACCGTGCCTGGCCCAAGATGTCTTTATGTCCTTCTTTCCATTCCTCCTGAGAAGCTACAGAGCAGGAAATGGAGCCTTGGTCTCTCCATGCTAGTTAGGCAGAGCGGGCAGGGGTGGAGAGGAGCATCTCTTCCTTTGACCTCAGGTTGCCCCTCTGCAGAGATGGGGCTGACCCTCTTTACAGCTTGTGTGGTGTCAGCTGGTGGGAGTCCAGGAGAGAGGGTCCTGCCCAGGTCCTGCCTCCACTGGCCCCGCCCTGAGGTGCTTCCTCATCTGCAGGGGTGGAGAGCATCACTGTGTATGAGGAGATCCTGAGGCAGGCTCGTTATCGGCTGCGACATGGGGCTGCCCTCTACGCCAGGAAATTCCGGCTTTCCTGCTCAGAAATGAATGGCCGTTACTCCAGCAATGAATTCATCGTGGAGGTACCCAGAAAGTCTCCTTCCTTCTGCAGTTACCCACCCCTGGAAAGGAGCCGGGGTGGCGTGGACTCAAAATGTTAGTTTGCGGGCATGGACATGGCAGCGTGGAGGGCTGCTGGACCTTGTGGTGGGTGGAGGAGAAGGAGATGGGGGCAGTAGTTAGGAGATGGGGCTGGGCTCTGGCGGGGGAGGACCTGGGGAGAAGCGTGTGTGCCCATGGAGCCCTCCCTCTGCCCAGGTGAATGTCCTGCACAGCATGAACCGGGTTGCCCATCCCAGCCACGTGCTCAGCTCCCAGCAGTTCCTGCACCGTGGTCACCAGCCCCCGCCTGAGATGGCTGGACACAGCCTGGCCAGCTCCCACCGTAACTCCAGTACGTAAGCCTGGGTGGGGCTGGACAGGGAGAGGTGGGTGGCAGGGGAGCGGGTTGGCACAGGTATCCTCCTCCTCCCCCTCCTGGAGCGGACAAGTGGAGTGGAGCAATGGGTTCTTTTCCCTGTGGTACCTGCCTCAGTGGACAGCTGTGGACCAAGCCCTCTCTCCCTTTGGATCATTCACTTTCCCTTGTGAGGAACATGAGTCTTGTGTCATTTTGGGGTGCATATGCTTGTGGAGTCATAAAGTCAATGTGGGTTTAGGCGTCTTCGTTATTCCCAATGATGTCTCCCTCCCCAGCCCCAAGCAATATCAAATTAACCCTGGACCAGGAATTCTCTGTGGTGAAGCTATCAAGTATTTACTAAGCACCTACTATGTGCTAGCACTGTCCGTAAATGATATAAATGATTTATAAGATCGATACAGTCCTTATCCCCAAGGAGAGAATTGGTGCTATTACATGTGTAATTGTGTGCTCTGTGCACAATCACAAGATTATTTCTAAAACAAAATATGCAAATATGCAAAGCGTTACATTCAGATGGAGTGCTGCCCTTTGAAAGCAATTTGGCCAGGGTCCCAAAGGTCCCCAGTCATGGTCCTTTTCCAATGGTGCAATTTTATTTTCTACTTTTGAGTTGCATAATTGTAGAAAAACTAGAAAATATCAATAAAAAGAAGAAAAATCAGGCCAGGCACAGTGGCTCACGCTCGTAATCCCGCCACACTGGGAGGCTGAGGCAGGAGAATCGCTTGAGCCCAGGAGTTTAAGACCAGCCTGGGCCACATAGTGAGACTCTGTCTTTACAAAAAATAATAATAAAAAAATAGCTAGGCATGGTGGTGTGCCTGTAGTCCCAGCTACTTGGGAGGCTGAGGCTCCCTTCTTCCTTGCTTGGGCCTGGGAGGCTGAGGCTGCAGCAAGCCATGATCACGCCACTGCACTCCAGTCTGGGAGACAGAGCAAGATGCTGTCTCTGTCTCAAAAAAGAAGAAGAAGAAGAAAAATCAACCATAATTCCATTGGAGAGGAAACCACTGATAATATGATGTATTATGTTCCAGTCTTTTTTCTATGCCTAGTTTTTTCTTTTTAGAAAGTTAGGATTAACTTATTTTGTAACCTGATATTTACACTTCATATTATAAAACAAGTATTCTCTCACATTATTAAGGAGGAAATGCATGCAAATGATGCTGCTGTTCCTGACAGTGATTTTTGGAACCCTTTTTAGAATTGCTTTCAGAGCGAATTTATGAGGCACGCTTGTTTTGTTACTTTTTGGACAGTGTTACTCAACTTCATCATCCACTTTTGCCAAAGTTGGCTCTGGATATAATTTTAAGTTTTTAAACATTAAACCTACTCTCAAAGGCCACAGATAAGTCACTTTTGAAAAAAGTCGAAAGGTTGTGTCACAGGCTCTGAAGGCAGTTCTCGAAGGAGTCCACTAGTGCTTTCTTGGAAGAAGTTTGTGGTCTCTGAACACTGTGTAAAAGTACAGAACTTATTTCAATATGTGATGCAATGATAGTGATAGCAAACAGGCGCTCTCACAGTGTGGCCGGCACCATGCTGGGGGATGACCTCAGTTAGCCGTCACAAACAAACAGTGAAGTGGGTACTAGAATTATCCCCTTTACAGGCAAGGAAGCAGAGGCGCAGAGAGTTCAAGTGCCTTTCCCAAGTTCACACAGCTACAAAGTAAGTGGAGCCAGGGTTTGAATCCAGGCAGCGCGATTCCAGTCTGTGCACTAACTGTGGTCCTCACCCCTCTCCCCAGATGTTGGATGCTTTAAAAAAAAATTAGTCTCATTACTTTAGAGTTGAACATAATTAGGGGGAGCCCCTGAGGGACTTCCCAGGGTTTTCTGACTGAGGCCAGCTCCTCTGATGCCCCCAGGATTCAGTCTGACTTCCTCTCCTCATGCAGTGACCACTACCTATGCTGTCTTTTTTTTTTTTGAAACAGGGTCTCACTCTGTCACCCAGGCTGGAGTGCAGTGGTGCAATCTCAGCTCACTGCAACCTCTGCCTCCTGAGTTCAAGCGATTCTCCTGTCTCAGCCTCCTGAGTAGCTGGTACTACAGGCGCCCACCACCACGCATGGCTAATTTTTATATTTTTAGTAGAGACGGGGTTTCACCATATTGGCCAGGCTGGTCTTGAACTCCTGACCTTGTGATCCACCCACCTCAGCCTCCGAAAGTGCTGGGATTACAGGCGTGAGCCACTGTGTCCAGCCACACTGTCTCTTATGTTTTCTTTTTTCTGGGACTGGCTCCCTTCTTCCTTGCTCTCTCTGCAAACAAGTGCAGAGACTTTTGGGAATGGGAGACAGGGTCTTGTTCTGTTGCCTGGGCTGGAGAGCAGTGGTGGTAATCAGAGCCCACTGCAGCCTCGAACTCCTGAGCTCCAGTAATCCTCCTGCCTTAGCATCCGTGAGGAGCAGATGCATGCCATTATGCCTGGCTGTTTTTCAGATTTTTCTGTAGAGACAAGGTCTCGCTTTATTGCTCAGGCTGGTCTTGAACTCGAGGGCTCAAGCCGTCATCCTGGCTCAGCTTCTCAAAGTGCTAAGATTACAGGTGTGAGCCGCTGCACTTGGACTTACAGAGGCCCTTTCAGTGTTCTACTGTGATTCACTAGAGCAAGTAGGTGGAAGTGGGGATGAGGGGGGAATGTGAGGCATAGCCGAGCTGCAAAGGTTCAAAGAAGTTTCACACAGTATTTAGTCAACAGAGACATGTTAGCAAACTATTTATTTTAAATAAACTCTTGAGGGCAGCTGTATATTTTTTTCCTTCTTGCGATTCAGTAGCACTTTCTCCAGTTCTTTCATTGGGGATCTTTGCACTCAATCTTTTCTGGGTTGGATACTAGGTCCTGCTACTCTGATCAGGTTCAAGGTAGATAGGGGTGCCTCCCGACTGGTGAGATTCTCAATCCTTACTTTCTTTGGCATGAGGCCCCAGGTGAGGGGCTTCTTGTTTTAAGTGCCCAGAACCTTCTCCCCTGAGTGTCTAGCTGTCCTGCATGGGCTGGCCTGGCAGGCAGCGCTTGTCACCCCTCAGCCCCTGGAGCAGTGTCTGTAAGTGACACCCTCTCACTTCCCCACAGTGAATCCAGTCTCCCCATCCTTTGTTCTGAGCTCATGTCCAGGCTGATCAAGCTTCCCTCAGATTTCAGTTGAGAGCAGCAGTCTTCCTTTGCCTCTTCTCTTATTTTGGCCTGAGTAGGAAACAGAGTTTATAGCTTCCCTGAGGGCACTGGTGATTGACATGCCTGAGCTGATGGGCCATCCACACGTGAAACCCTTTCCATGTGCCTTTTCTGACTCCGCCAGGTGTTCGCTCCCTTTGTGTTGCAGAACTGTGGTTTCACAATATCAAACCATTCTAAACATGCAGAAGCAGTGAGGGACAGAGGCCCATCTCTCTAAATCTCCTAAGTGCACTAGACAAAGAGAGATCAGCGTGAACTGGAACAGTCAGGGGAGACTTTGTGGCACATGCCGAGTTTAAGCTTGGACCTGAGGTGTAGAAGGGATTTTTGGACGGTCATGAGAGAAAATGAGAATTTGAGAACTGGGGGTAGATGGGTGGTTGGGGTGTTTATGGTTAGAGAGAATAAGGTTGGTTGAGAAGAGTGAGCCAAGGTGATGAGGGAATTATGCATCTACTCATATCAAATGTTGATGCCTATCAGAATCACCCGGGGAGCTTTAAAAGCTCTTGGCACCTAAATTACACCCCAGAATGTCTAGGGGGTGGGAGCCATGTATCAGTGGTTTTTAAAAATCCCATGGGATCTTTAAGTTTGAGAATAATTTCCCTCCTTTGTTTCCTACAAGCATCTGAAGCTTTGCAGAAAGAGTTACAATGCAATAGGACAAAAAGAAAATGAATTAGGAAGTGAGGAGGGAAAGGTCATGATGAAATAAGGTTCAGATGAAGCCAGGGAATAAAGTCAGCTCATCACATACATTCTGTGAGATGCTGTGCAGTTGCTACTATGGGCCAGAATTTTGATTCTGAGCTGCTTTGAAGCTAAAGCAAAAGGAAATCTGAGCAGTTCTGAAAGCCGTGATGGGAGCCAAACAGTATTTCATGAGAAGCTGTGGGATGTGAGCAGAAAGACGTCTCTCCTGAGGCTGTTCATAAAGAGGGCATCATGTGGGGCCGTGGGGAGGGCTTTCAACAGTGTCCTCACAATCCCACCGGCCATTTGCTAAATTACCCCTTAATATTGGCTCTGAAAGTCATTCAAGGCCAGAATTAACTGCTCAGATCTCATGTAGCAAGAAGAGTTGAGCGTACTTCTTAAATTCTTGATGTTTATCTGTAGCTAATTTAAAAATCCTCCCATTTCCCTGGCCTCCTGACTCATCTTAAACTAATTAGCCAGACTTGTTTGCTTGTAGATAGAGTGTCTGCATTTTGTCTTTGCTGTGGTCATTTCTTATTCCTGGCAATCAGCCTGTCATTTCCTTCATTAGGTCAGGTGCTTGGAGGGACACTGCATTGATCAAGGCACAAACCAGGTTTTGCTTGTCATCTTTGTGTGCTTAGAGCAAGTTCACCTGCTTTGGTCTCCACTCTGAGGGCGGGATCGCCACACCTTCTAGAGCCTGGGCTTAGCCACGGGGCCCATCTGCCCGTGGAGGCACTGCCCCTGGGTCTGGTCTGTTGACATGGAGATCTGGGAGGCATTATTGCCTGCAGATAGGCAGAAGAGGCAGCTCTGTCCCTTCCTTCTTCATCCCCTGTTCCCAGGCAGTTGGGAAATACTGATCTAGCCAGTCCTGTCTTCACCTTGGAACCAGTGTCCGGGGAGCGTGCCCTAGCACAGTCTGCTGTAATTGGCTAGTGGCCTCAAGTGGGCAGTGGGTTGGGTCAGGATGGGGACCAACTTGGCAGACAGCCATCAGGGCGGCCTCAGGGAGGTGTGTGGCCTGCCAGGGAGCGCATTCTCCACACACCTGGTTGGGCCTGGAGTGCGTGGCAGCCGAGTGTGCTGGTTGCTGGACAGAGGGGCGCTGCAGCAGGGCGTGGGCGTGGGCGCTTCTGGGCCAGGGGCGTCTCTGCGTGCTGCTCTGTCTCTTGACACATGAGTCTCAGGCTGTAGGTAATTTGAGTACGGGGCTGGGATGTGATGTGTGTATGTTTCTAGGGGCTTGCTTGTGTGACTTTCGGTGTGTGTTTGGGGCACACATACACGGAATAGTCCCTTAGCTACGGGACTGCCCAGGGTGGAGCCGCTGTGCATTTACGGTGGACTGGGGTGTGCACCCATGTGGGGAGTAGTGAGCCAGCTGCCTGTGAGGGCCCTGGGCCTGGGGGTGCATGTGTGGGGTCTCTACCTCCACCTGCTGTCCCTGGGGCTGCGGGCTTTCCTGCTTTGCATCCTTGTGCTTCTCCGAGAGCTGTGTGTGTGTGCGCTGGAGGCAGGCAGGGCTGTGTTCACGGCGGCTCGCTCTGTGGCCCTCATGGCCCATGCCTGTAGTGTCTACATCTTCCTTCAGGGGGTTGCCTGCGCTGCCCAGCTGGTGGGGAGCTGGGTGACACTGCCCATATGGCTCTACTGTGCCTTGCTGGAGACCCTCAGATGTGTTCCTTTACTCCCGCTGTGTGAGGAGGTGGCCGGGTGGCTGGTGTGGGCCGGCATGCAGGCTGGCAGAGGCCTGGCTCGGGTGTGGGGTGTGGCGACCTTTGTGCAGCTGTGGGCTCGCACGGTCTTCCTGGGCATGTACCTGTGCATGCACATCTGCTTTGCTGCCATCAGCTCTAAGGTCCGTGTGAGAGTACACGCACCGTTCTGTGTCTCACTGCCCTTCAGGGTCCATGTCCCCCTGAGCTTGGGCATCAAAGTGGGGCTGCAGGGCCAGAAGCAAGGGAGGGCCACTGGGGAGGCAAGTACGCCTCAGAGGGAGAGATTGGGGAAGCAGAAATCCCAGACGTCCAGGAGCCCCAAGCCCACCAGGAGAAGGGAGGTGTCACGGAGCAGGAGAGAGCTCAGTCCAGGTGGGTAAGGGAAGGGGCTGTTCTGTGCCCATTGGACTTGTCCCCAGCCTCAGGTGGTTAAGAGAAGAGGCTGTTCTGTGCCCATCGGACTTGTCCCCAGCCTCAGGTGGTTAAGGGAAGGGGCTGTTCTGTGCCCGTCGGACTTGTCCCCAGCCTCAGGTGGGTAAGGGAAGGGGCTATTCTGTGCCCATCGGACTTGTCCCCAGCCTCAGGTGGGTAAGGGA